GGATAGGAGCACACCCCAAATCTCTTTAAGCCTGAAGGGAATACGCTGGTTTACTTAACTGAGACAGACCTTTTCTTGTGGTGGTTTTTTTTTTTTTTTTTTTTTTTTTTTTTTTTTTTTTTTTTTTTTTTTGTTTTTTGAGACAGGGTTTTTCTGTGTAGCCTTGGCTGTCCTGGACTCACTTTGAAGACCAGGCTGGCCTTAAACTCACAGAGATCCGCCTGCCTTTGCCTCCCTCGGTGCTGGGATTACAGGCATGCACCACTGTGCTCTGCTCTGAGGCAGAATTCTTAGAGGGGCTGCAAGGACATGCAAGACTGAGACTAGGGCCTCAGCCCTCTCTCTCTCCACCCACTTACTCTTCTGCTTTTGTGTGGCTTTGGGTCCTGACCTCACTCTTCCCTGGTATGATAGTCTTGAGACATTTTTTCTAGCCTGAGGAACAACCACTACTGAATGGGGGGCTGTTGTTTTTTTTTACGCACATGAATACACGTTTTTAAGGAAAGAATTTGTTCTCTCCCGTGGGTCATGCCTATCTCCTTTGTGTCAAAGATTCTCGTTAAGGAAGGCATTTAGTAACAGTGGCCCACATTTAAGTCTTTTATTTACTTATGTGGCCTGGTGAGATATAGGTGGCCGACTTCTTTAAAGTGAGAGGAGGGATGGGGAGATAGGTAGCTCGATGGTTAGACATTTTCCGTAGAAGCGTGGAGACTAGAGTGATGAACTGAAGAGGTGGCTGTGGCAGCCCACCTACTGTTCCACCCTAGGAGGCGGAGATAGGGGATCACCAGAATAAGTTGGCAAGCTCTGGATTTCACCGAATGACCCAGTTGAGGCAGAGTTGCTTGGATCATGTGGAAGAACAACCAAGGATGATACTCAACCCCTCAGCCTCCACGGGCATGCATACACTTTTATATGCCCATATACATTTAAAACAAACATGGTACATACGTGCACACATGCACAAAACAATGAAAAGAGGTAAAAAGAAAGGCAAGTCTTGTGGGGAAGAATAGAGGTAAATTAATTGCCTTTCATTCATTCATCAGCAATTGGCCTTTCTGGGAGGCGTAGGGATCCTAAAAATGAGCCCATTCGATGACCATTTCACCCATACAGAGCTTACATTGGGGTGGGGAGGCAGGGACTGAAGATAAGAGGTCCGTATGTTATGCTTGATGGGGCATAAGTACAAGGAACAAAACCCAAGGCAAAAGAGAGGACTGGGAAGTGTTTGTGGAGAGAGGGAGTAGATATCTTGACTCATATGAGTAGGGAAGGTCTTTCCAGTGAGAGAGTGACTTTAGTAGTTGGTGAAGGACTGAAAAAGGGAACCCTGCAGGCATTCTTGTAGAGGAGAACAGCAGCTGTGATAGACGGACCTAAGCTAAGCAGACCTGGGGCATATGGGTGAGGACATGGAGGCTGGAATGGTTGCTAGAGCAAAGACCAGGAGAAAGTGGAAGGGTATCAGGGCCTGGAGCTTATGGCCTCTAGATGATGCTAAGACTTGGGGGTTTTCATAACTGTGTTGGCTTTACCTCCTCAAATGGCAGCCAAAAGAGGGTTTTGAGTACAGGGATGAAATGATCTGGCTCCTGATACACCTGACCTGGAAGCTTTTGTTAACAGTTGGAGAACAAAGGCAGAAAATGACAACCCAGGCAGGAAGCCAGTGCCACAAAGATCACAGCATGGGAACAGGTTGGTGACAATTAAGGTGGTAAGAAGGAGTAGGGTTCTAGATATGTGGTGATTGTAGGTCTAGCAGAGTTTGCTGACAGAATGGACCTGGGTGTGAAGGAAGGAATGGTTGAAGAACAACAGGTGAGTCTTAGGTCTGAGCTATAGAAGAAGGGAACTGGTGTTGAGTAGGCAATGAAGAGCTGTTAGGGTGTGGAGTGGGGTGCAGAAAAGGGGAGGGCACCATTAGAAAGTGTGGAATGATATCCAGATGAGGGTGTTGCAAGTCTGGAGTTTCGAGAAAGGTCCTGGCTGAAGATAGGCATTTGGGAGTCATCTGCGTGTGGGTGGGTTTTAAAAGCATGGGACCTGACAAGTTCACTGTGTTCAGATAGGGAAGATTCATTGAAGCGCTGAATTACAGGAATACAGTAGTCTCGGAAAGTGTGACAAAACTAGGCAGACCCTGTCGGCCACTTAGAGGACTTGCTATTCCGCATGCTTTTTGAGCTGTAGAACTGTTGCAACTGCCCTAAAAGCTTCTATAACTTTTCTGGACAGTTTGATGCTCTATTGATCTGATTTTCATTTATACAAATTCCATTTCTCCCCGTCATAGTATTTATTACAGTTGAATTACAGGTAGAATGGCTATTGAGCTTATTTCCAATGAGCTGCTCTTACCTTCCTAGACACACGTAATGTAAGTGTGACTTGGAAATGACTGCTGTTTGCAAGGAAGTGGGCTGAGGTGGTAGATGAAGCTGTGCTGAGCATTGCTGAGCAGCGATGAAGGCTGCTCTTTGGTTGGCGTGTGCGACCCCTAAGTCCCGTAACCATAGGGGATTGCAGGCAGCTTGGTGGCTACCTATAGTCAGGAGTCCAGGGAAGAGAATGCACAGCCAGATTCTTACATACTTTGCATTCTGTGTCCATAAAGACTTTTCTAATATTTAGCACCATAATTTCCTTTGTCTTTCCTCCCTCCTTGGCGGTGTCCTTCCCAACCTCTGTTTATCCCTCTTTGTTCTTTCATGTCACTATGTCACATATACGTCTCTGTGTGTGTATGTGTGTGTGCGTGTAAAATCTACATTGTGCGTGTGACAAGAAAATACAAATGTTTGTCTCCCTCCAATTACATTCTCTTATTCCCCATCTATCTCCATTTAGACCTCGTCTTTTTCATATTTTCATAAATATATGCATGTTTCTGTGTGTGTTATGTGTGTGTGTGTGTGTGTGTGTGTGTGTGTGTGTGTGTGTAATTTAGGTCAAGATGCCATACATGAGATATGAGAAAAAACATGTAATATTTGTATTCAGTGTCTGGTTTTTATCATTAAGCAAGATGATCTTCAGCTCCATACTGCTTTCTTATAAGTGACATTATAAATATAATTTTTAACATAATTCTTGAATGGTGAATGGTAGAAGTTCTAGAAAATCCCATACTGCTTAGAAGAAGCCACATCATTGATATCTGCGAATACATACTGCACTTTCCCTTGTTGAGGTATTTATTTTGGTTTCCTCTAACGTTGTAATCCTAACATTTTTGCTTTTTAACCTTACAGCCCTTTTCTCACATGGGTGGTGATGGAAGGTGATGGAGGGTAATAGAGATCAATTTTTGTGTCATTTATTTTCCCCGGTTAAGAAACTCTTAAGTAGAAGTTTGAAAGGAAAATGTTGATACAGCCTCCTTACTAATTGGGGATATTGAGCCATGTTGGCTGCTTCCTGTCTTAGCAATAATCTATGGCAGAAATGATTAAACTCATTGGGGCTTTTGACTTGAAGGGTCTGTGCCTTTTGTGTGGTCTTACAAAGTTCTTATCTTTATCCTTTTGTTGTTACTGAAATAATTCCCTTGAATTGTACAAGGGAAAAATGCCCGTTAGACAAACTTTCAATTTGACTGTGTCCTGCAGCCTTCACTCAGACAAAAAACAGCTTTACACTCTCCCATCTTTCCTTAATCCTCCAAACACTTCCCTCCCCCTCACCATCAGCTCACTTTTGGCTCACTGCAAAAATACAAGTCCTTAGAAGCCCCCATCACCACCTAGCACGTCTCTCAAATCACCCACGTTCAAACCCATCCAGTCTGCTCTCCTGGTAGGATCGTAAGCTGTGTCCCTGTGTACCGCGGACTCTTGTGTCTGTGGTGTGGATACCACCCCTGCTCTGTAGTTCCAGGATGCTTGGTCTGCAGCTATTTTTGTAGCTATTCCCTACCATTCCTATAGCAGCAATCTGCCTCCATTAGCTCACTCTGTTCACTTTCTAACGGGCCAAAAGGATGTCTACATTTTTAAACTTTGCTCTGTTTTTGCACACTCTTCCATCGACCTCTATTTCTCATCGGTTTTTTTTTGTTTTTTTTTTTTTTTGTAGCAATATTTCTCAAAGTTACAGTCTCTGCTTCCAGTCTCCCCTTCCTGACTCACTGTGGTACCCTGATGTCCTCTGTACCTACTCTTGTCAAGATTTCCCAGCATGGCTATTGTGCCAGGATCTTGGGTCCGCTCTTAAGTTTCATCTTTTTGGAGCCTCCAGTAGCGTAGGATTGAACTTCTAATACATGGTCATCATTTCAGCCTTTCTTAGCTTTCCTCTTCTTTACTGCTCTTTTCCACTGTCCTCCACTGTGCCTTCCATGACGTGGTCCCCCATCAGACATGCAGTGTCAGCTTCTTCTCTCAGCTTTGCCTCTTAGCTTCCCACACTTGGCTTCTTCTTATTCCTTTAGCCACCAGCCTCCTTCCTGTTCCAAGGCTCTCCATTGCCCCTTTGCTTGCAAAGTATTTCGGTCAAAGTTTCTCTGCCCACGGCTTGTACCTTTCCCCACTGCCAAATGTGTTTCTCAGGTACCTTTCTTGTCAATTCTGAAAAAAGACTGCTTTCTTATCTGTCTTATTTTCCTTCTTAGTATTTATCTTTACATTATATCTTATTTCCTCCAAGGTAATAATCTCTCAGGATATGAAATGAGTCTTTCTTTCCTGCTAGGCCTGTGATTTAGACCATGGTTTGTCTTATAGTAAATTCTCAGTAGTGCGTTGAGTGAGTAAGTAAGTCGCTTAATGGAGATATGTGGCATACCGATATTCTTGTATCATATGTTATTGTATCCTTAGTATTTTTTAAGGGACAGATAAAAGTTTACTACAGTGTAATGGTAAATCGTAACATAAAAGTGTCTGGTCAAGCACTGCCGTGTGAAGAGTCATTTAAACAGATTTCCCACGAGTAACATATCTGCTATATTATCTCACTCTTCTCTCTTGGACCTCTCCATGCAGCTGAAGAATAAGTTTATGAAAAAACTGCCACGTGATGCGGAAGCCTCCAACGTGCTTGTTGGGGAGGTTGACTTCTTGGACACTCCCTTCATTGCCTTTGTTCGGCTGCAGCAGGCTGTCATGCTGGGCGCCCTGACTGAGGTCCCTGTGCCCACAAGGTAAGCTGCCCTCCCACCCACTAGGGCTCACAGGGAAAATGTCAGCCCTCTTAGGGTCAGAGACTCAGTGGAATGAGGATCCACTCTGCGTTGGGGCGTTTTCGTTTGAAATAGTGCCCAACTGACGTCTGTGCTCTTAAATCGCGTGTCACTTGAACAGTAATAATAATGGCAGTTAGAGTGATTTACTGGCTCATAAGCTGGTTTCTTTTTGTGGGTTATTCTTTTTAACCACATGATAATCTCTTAGTATGCAAATTCTAGGACCCATATTTAACACGGAGACACTGAGTTTAAATACCCCATCCAAAGTGGTACGTACAATTAGTAAGTGATTCAGAGGTCATAGATGTTTTCACTTCCTCTGTGTTATCAGAAAATTTTTACTGTGTGCACGCACAAAGAGGCACCAACACACAGACACATATACTCATGTAAACGGGCATCTTGGTAGAAGCATTCTCATCACTCAAAGCACTTAAATTGGTACACTTTACATTAAGCGTGCCATTTACCATCACGGGTCAGCCTATTGCTCTTCTCCCAGAAGCCAGCCTAGAAGCTGCCCTGCTGTCTTTCCCTGAAGCTATGCTCAGTGGTTCAGATGCTTGACCTAGGCACACGGTTAGCCAAGGACATGCTAAGACCACGCTTGCACTTGTGCTGAGAGAGACGCTAAAGAGGAGTTTGTGGCTTCAGGTTGACAGGGGGAGGTGTGTGCTTTCCTGTGCGTCTCAGGACAGAGTTAGGTGACTTCTTTTTTAGCTTGTACACATGAATGAGAAAGGCTGTAGATGCCCCCTCGGTGGACTGAGTTGGTCTGAGCATGGTTAACCAACAGTGATGAGAGGTTCAAGGTTTGTTCAGAGCCAGGTTAGGAAGAACACAAGAAGCAAGCATCCCAGAGCCCTTTCAGTTCTTTTTGATCTCACAGGTGATTGCCTTCCAACCATCATTTCTAAATATCTGGGGCAGACACTGGACATGTAGTGCTGGAAAGGAGGTGATCACAGCTGGGCAATTAATGAGATGTTTGTGATTGGTGTTGTCTATAACATTGCAGTGGAGCCTTGTGGTTCTGTCTGAGCGATCACCTGGCAAGCTGCTGACTCAGGATGGCTGGAGTCCAGCTCGGCGCCCCAGTGGCTGTATTTCTGTCTATCTCTGCACTAACTTTACTGGGGCTTGAAAGAGAAAACATGCCAAGAAGTGTTAACGAAAATTGCTCTTGCCTTTTCATTTTTATTACCATTTTTCCCCCTCTGGAAGCCACAAATAAAAAACAGTTTAAGGGATTTTTGTTTAACAGTAATAACACACATATAAAGTAGGAAATCATGGCCCTTTGTGTGTCTTTCTTCCTGTGTCCTTTGTCTGCCTCATTCTTTTCCTTGTTCTCTTCTGCACCAGAGGGAAGTATTAATTTAGAGTTGAAATATGGCATCACCTGAAGAGGAAGAGGGGCAAAGCCATTCATTTCAGAGAAGTGAAGGGGTGTAATTCAATATCATAAAACTATTTCAGGGCTGGAATCAGAATGATAGACCCTCAGATATTAATAATTTTCCAGGAAATATGTTATCTATTTCCTGTCTTCTGGGACAGGGTACATTATAATCATCTATTAGAGTGTCTCCTTAGGTTTTCTGTTTGTTTGTTTGTTTGGTGGTGGTAGTGTGTGTGTGTGTGTGTGTGTGTGTGTGTGTGTGTGTGTGATATGGGGATATTTATGATGGTTGCTTCCTCTGATCTCCAATAAGGGAAATCCACAAGGAGCGTGCAGTCACTGTGAAGGACGCAGTCTGTACTCCATGTTGGGCTTTAACTTGTATAGCTCTGTTGCTCTCTGGTCATACTTGAAGAGTCTTTCATCAGCACGTCTTTTCATGGTCGTGTTTTCCTCTTAAATGTAGAGGAAAGTTACACTGTGAGCGTGATGAGTACTCTTCCTAAGAAACAGTTTTGCCATCTTAACTCTAGCTCGGTTCACAGCTAGAGTTTTTTTCTTTGCCTCTTGTGTTTTGCTGTAGCCTCTACTTGTAACACCTTGGCTGCCAGTGGCTGGGGTAGTTAGGTGTCTTTGTAGGGATGGGTCTGGCTTTCCATATCTTGATGGCTGGTGACTTGGTAGGATGTGTTTACAATGTTTCTAGTATCTTGCAGGTGCTCTTCTTGCTGTCGCTTTGTGTCTGTTCGCCAAGCTGCGTTGTGGTACATTTTCTTATTACCATTTAGAAGCCTTGGAAAGGAAGCAATGGGAAGATTTGCTATTAGCTACAGGTAGAATAATGAATTTCTGACTCTAGGGCCAAAGTTTGAGAAGTATCTAGAATGGGTTAGATTAAGACTCTCCAGGACTATTAAGAAGTAATAAAAGTATAAATCAGTTTGTCCCTTTTGGATCTTGAAATAACACAAAAGGCTAGTCAGTGAGCTTTAGTTTTCTAAGTATTATGTTTTTCTTCAGAATTTTATAAGTTAATACATATTGTATGTTAGAATCACTTGCCTGTGAGAAATGGTTTGTAATCAATTATTTAAAAACATGACAATATTTTAGAGAGGTTGGGACAGCATTTCTGCTATAGATGCTGTCTGTGTCTTGCATTGCATTTAAGGTGGTAGTCATGGTGTGTGGTCCTCTGTGTCTATTGTAGAAGCTACAGCTTGGCCATATCTTGCAAAGCTGCTCATTATGCATGGTGGGTTGTTTGATTCACTGGTGTTTCAGAGAAGGGAGTAAGGGGTTGGTATATGCTATGCTTATTCTAGAAAGAGTTATGATCTATCAGGAAGGGGGTGCATGCTTTCTAAAAAAGACTGAGTGGTTCAGGAAGGCTGGGTACTTTTCTGATACTGTGCTTGCTCTGCCTATAATTATTTTGTGAACGTGAGTATAGGCCACTGGTTCTGGACATGAATATTCTGGTTTTTCTTTCTGTTGTGAAGTGTGCTAGGGGCATCTTTTGCAGGCATCATTAGTTACTAGAAAAAAATTCACAAAAGTAGGGGACTTCTGGAGACAACTAGGAACCATTATAAATTCTACCTCTGACATTTGTAGTTGTGCGAGGAGAGAACAAACCCAGTAACCTGAGTTCATTTTTTTTCCTCCATAAGCTGTCAACATGAACTGCTCACTTCCAGCCACACAAATGTGATGTTTACTCATAATTTGTTAATAAAGAAAAAGGCTTCTGGTTAAAAATAACATCTGTCCATTGACAGAAACCAGCTTGTATCATGAACGGAGTTTTCAGTGCATTGTAAAGCTGAGTTTTGCAGGATAGACTTCCATCATAAAAGTTGAAACAGCATTTGCTTCTTTGAGGATGAAGGAGAGTGGGGTGGGCATTAGGCAGAGGGAGCTTCGGCTTTCAGGGTTGTTGCAGCTGTGGTTTTTTCAGATCTCCCATTTCCCCATAACCGTTGCAGTGGTGCTGTGCATTAGAAACTGCTCCTGCTTTCTGATCCTACAGCTGAAACTCTTAACTTACAATGAGGCCCCTATTGTACACTTAAGCCCAGAGTTCCTCCTATGCTGCCCTTAGGGAGTAGATCTCTGAATTGTCCTTAACTGCGATAATAAAAAAACCCTTTAACTGTCATCATGTTGTTTCTACTCAGCACTTGGTGACATTTCATAATGAAGAATGTCTTTTTATTTTAACCTAGATACCTTTCCATCTGGGTTATCGAGGCAATATAATTCTCGTACTCGGGCTTATTGTTTTAGTATATGTTACAGCTATCACTAACCTACTACTTCCTTTTATTCTTTGGTATTATGGAGCAAAGACCAAACAGTAAGTGTTTTATAGAGAAAGCATGCCCTTTGGCTAACTCTGTCAGCTTTTGGACTGTTACCTACCCTCTGCCTAATTTTATGTTTGGGGACTATTACTTATCAAAAGTGTTTACTCACAGAGAACACAATATTGACTTAGGTTTTATTGCCATATGTACAACCTGATAATGACTCTATGTATCAGTGTTTTCAGATTTTTTATAAGCTATATTCACATGGGAGGGGGTTACTAGAGAGAGGAGAGAGAGGCACAAAATGGGCCCTGGAAAGGTTTTAGTGATTTGTGCATTATTTGAAAAGTTAATACTTAGGTACAATAGAAAGGGCCAGGCAAACAACCCAGATATCCCTCAGCTGAGGAATGGATACAGAAATTGTGGTACATTTACACAATGGAATACTACTCAGCAATTAAAAACAAGGAAATCTTAAAATTTGCAGGCAAATGGTTGGATCTAGAAAAGATCATTCTGAGTGAGGTATCCCAGAAGCAGAAAGACACACTCGGTATATACTTGCTTATAAGTAGGGTACTAGACCTATAAGATAGGATAAACATACTGAAATCTGTACACCTAAAGAAGATAAACAAGAAAGAGGACCCTGGGTAAGATGATCAACCCTCACTTGGAAAGAAAAATGGATGGACATTGGTTATAGGAGAAAACAAGTAACAGGAAAGGAGCCTACCACTGAAGGCCTTTGAAGGTCTCTACCTAGCAGTGTACCAAAGCAGACTCTGAGACTCATAACCAAACCTTCAGCAGAGTACAGGGAATCTTATGAAAGAAGGGGGAGTTAGTATGACCTGGAGAGGACAGGAGCTCCACAAGGACCAAATATATCTGGGCATAGGGTTCTTTTGTGAGACTGTATCTCCAACCAAGGACCATGTATGGATATAATCTAGAACTCCTGCTCAGATGTAGCCCATGGCAGCTCAGTATCCAAGTGGGTACCCTAGTAAGGGGAACAGGGACTATTTCTGACATGAACTCAATGGCTAGCTCTTTGACCTCCCTCCCCCCACCTGAGGGAAGAGCAGCCCTGCTAGGTCACAGGGGAGGACATTGCAGCCAGTCCTGAAGATACCTGATAAGCTAGGGTCAGATGAAAGGGGAGGAGGTCCTTCCCTATCAGTGGACTTGGAAAGGAGTAGGGAGAAGATGAGGGAGGGAGGGTGGGATAGGGAGGGAATGAGGGAGCGAGATACAGCAGGGTAAAAAGTTAATAAACTATAACTAATATTAAAAAAAAGAAAGGGCCAGACAAGAGAAATTCAGGAAAGCTGTACTAAACGGAAGGTCCAGTATCAAGACAGTTTTCTTTTCGGTACCACATCTGCTCACTTAGCTCCCAAACTGCCATTTCTGTCATGCCTGTGTATGGGCAGGCAAGTAGAATTGCCAAAAGTAGTACTTTTTCTTAATGGGACTTGCTTTAGGAGCTAAATATTTTGCACATTTTGTTCTAAGAATAGTGACCATTCCCTTTAGGAGAAAACAACAACAAATACTTTACTGTCAAGAAGGACTTTGGGTCACTGCCTGTGCTGGCCCATTGCTGTTTATGATGTGTTATTTCCAGGGGAAGAAAAATCCAAGCATTAAAGCAAGTACTGGAAGAACTGAAGTGCAGTTCTAACAGTGAGCACTTTCACCCTCGAGCAGGCTTTCAGAATTGCCAGTTGCTTTTACTGTGGCAACCCTTGACACTGGAGTCTCACCTCCACTACAGGACAGGCTCTGAGCAAATAAGTGCTGTATAGCTTTATGATTTACTCTGGTAAATCTGAGTATTCAAACTTTTAAAGAACATTCGTTACAGCTTTAAACCCTGATATTCTTTTTTAAAAACCTTTTTTTTTTTTTTTTGGAGTGAATTTTTTTTAGAGGTTTTTCTTTTTTTAAAATTTTTTATTAATTACACTTTATTCATTTTGTATTCCCCCATAAGCCCCTCTCTCCTCCCCTCCTGATCCCACCCTCCCTCCCCTTTCTGCATGCATGCCACTCCCCAAGTCCACTGATAGGGGAGGTTCTCCTCTCCTTTCTGATCTTAGTCTATCAGTTCTCATCAAAATTGGCTGCATTGTCCTCTACCATGGCCTGGTAAGGCTGCTCCCCCCTCAGGGGGAGGTGATCAACGAGCAGGCCAATCAGATTTTGTCAGAGGCAGTCCCTCTTCCCATTACTATGTAACCCACTTGGACACTGAACTGCCATGGGCTACACCTGTGCAGGGGTTCCAGGTCATCTCCACGAATAGTCCTTGGTTGGAGTATGAGTCTCTGGGAAGTTCCCTGTGTTCAAATTATCTTGTTTTGAGTGAATTTTACAATAAAGAAAAGTACTCGTCCTTAGCACCATTTTGGAATGGATGGTGACATTCATTTACAGAACATTCGATGTCAGTCCTTTTCTTTTTAAAGTGAGTTAGGGAACTCAGTAAGGAGGAGTAAAATTCAGTGAAGTAAAGTGCTAAACGGTTCCTGGTGCCATCAAACTTTGTCTACTTTTTCTTGTCTTTGGCTGTGTAAGGGTTAGGGTCAGGGTTGGGGTAAGAATCCACAATTCTTTTCCCAAGAGCGACCTATGAAAATGATTGCTCGATAGGTTTTTTTCAGAAGACCGGGTGACAATGGAGAATCCCTAAGGGAGGAATGGAACATGAGGTGCCCGTGTGCCCATAGCCTGCCATCCACTGACTGTGGCGTTGTCTTGATGCTGCAGGTTAGAGCAGAGTGTCACTCACAGTGGCCACAGGATCTGTCTCTGAGCTCGGTGTTTGGCTCTTTTACTGGACACCAGCCTTGGGCTCACCTGCTGTCGCCTCTGCCCCCAGATGTCCTGGTGTTAAACAGGATGAGCTTTGTTTTGCAGAAGGCTGTGTGGGAATTTGAATAAGGCGATGACTGTGCCTTGCAGGCTTTCTGAAGCTGTGCAAACATCTGATGCCATCATATGTGTGTCTCCATTTTCTCCCTGTTAGGTAAGGTATGAGCAATAGCAGGGCAAGATCTACCTTGTGTCACCTTTTGTACATATTTTTCTTACTCACTTATCAGGCTCCTTCTTCCTCAGTGGAGAAACACATCTTCACCTTCCTGGCAAGTGATGAATTTCTTTCAAAATGACAAGTTTGTCGTTGCTTATTTTAGGACATATTTGCTCTGGAGCAATGATTTTTATACTATCAAGAAAATAAACTTGTCCCCTCTGCCCCTCCCCTAGTCTGCTGATAAGGGAGATCTTTCTCCCCTTCCATCTGACCCTAGCCTATCAGGTCTCATCAGGACTGGCTGCATCATCTTTCTCTGTGGCTTGGCAAGGCTGCTCCCCCAGGGAGAAGTGATCAAAGAGCCAGCTACTGAGTTCATGCCAGACACATCCTCTGTTCCCCTTGCTAGGGAATCCACTTGGACACTGAGCAGCCAGTGGGCTTCCTATGAACAGGGGGTCCAGGTCCTCTCTATGCTTGGTCCTTGGTTGGAGTATCAGTCTCAGAAAAGACCCCTAGGCCCAGAATTTTTTTGTCTCTGTTGGTCTCCTTGTGGGGCCCCTGTCCACTTCAGTTTTTCTATCTCTGCCTTCTTCCATAAGATTCCCTGCACTCTGCTCAAAGTTTGGCTATGAGTCTCAGCATCTGCTTTGATACCTTGCTGGGTATAGTCTTTCAGAGGCCCTTTGTGGTAGGCTTCTGTCCTGTTCCCTGTTTTCTCCTGTTTCTCTTGTCTATCCCTTTTGCCTTTCAGAATGAGGATTAAGCGTCTTCCCTAAGGTCCTCCTTGTTGTTTGGCTTCTTTAGGACTATAGATTTTAGATTATAGATTTAATGTTTATCCTATATTATATGGCTAATATCCACTTATAAGTGAGTATATACCGTGTGAAATGAGGGAACCCACAAAGGGTTTTTAACTGTTTGTGAACAGTACTTTATTTTACTTTAGCTTTTATGTATTTATTTTATGTATAAGTACTCTATCCACTTGCATGCCAGAAGAGGGCATCAGTTTTCAGTATAGATGGTTGTGAGCCAGCATGTGGTTGCTGAAAATCAACTCAGGACTTCTGGAAGAGCAGACAGTGCTTTTATCTGTTGAGCCATCTCTCCGGCCCAGTACTTTTTCTCTCTCTCCTATTTCTTTCTTCTTTCTACCAGTGAGTGGCTCACTTGTGAAGGTTTGGTTTCCCTGAATCCCACTCAGCTGAATAGCAGTATTTCCTGAAAATATGGAGAAGAGCACTTCTCAGCATCCATACTGGGTACAGAAAAGTCAGAGAATCAGAAAATGTACTAAGGCTTTGTAATTAATGTCCTTAACACACTTACACCATAGACTCCAATGTCAGTAAAAATGAAGACAAAGAAAAGTTTAAAACACAGAGATCAGAGATTTGTGAAGTACATAAGTAAACTTTTTCATGCTCAATGAAGAAGGCTCTCACATTTCTCCTATACCTTCAGATTCCTTGTGGTAGTGTGAAAGAGTATCTTTTTAAAAATCCCTTAGAATTATGCCCTTCTTTGTTTTAAAGGTGAGTTCTAGGGGCAGGGTAGATTACTTAATCCACTAAATGTTGCTTTGCAAACATCAGGACCTGAGTTCAGCTCTCTAGCACACAAGCACACAAGCAGAGGCAGAAGGGTCCCTGAGGCTTGCTGGCTTGCTAGACTAGCTACCCTGAGCTCCAGATTAAGTGAGGGACCCTGTCTCAAAACCCAAGGGGAAGAGCTGTTCAGGAAGACACCTGACCTGTGACCTCATGACATGCACTTGACTATGAATGCACACACTTGCGCGTACACACAGTGAAGATGATCTCTAGAGGTGAACTTGTAATTAATTAAGATAACGATTTCTCAGTTTCATGAAGTATGTATTACAACCTTCGCTTCTCTCCTTCTCCATTAGGTTCTTGTTCATTCTCTTAGGTCCAAAGGGGAAAGCCAAGTCCTACCATGAGATTGGACGAGCCATCGCCACCTTGATGTCTGATGAGGTAGGGAAGCTGGGTAAATGGATATGTGATCATCTTGTTTGTGTTTATCTAAACTGCACACTGACTCTCATGGTTTATTCAGTTAGAATGAGGTGGCCACAAAGCTCTTCGCAGAGTGGCCTACAATCATTTGTGGCCGATGAGCTTATATAGGACAGCCTCCAAAAAGTAAGGCAAGTGTTCTGTTTTTGTGTTAGATTCAAACTATGTGTGGAAATAAAATGCATTTTCCTGTTTTTCTCAGAAAAATTATTTAGAAAATATTCTAAATTTCTTAAAAATTAAGATGAATTAGTTGCATATAGTTGTCCTATTTATAGGTTTCTGTGTGGTATTTTGATTCAGCTATATATTTTGGAATGATCTGAGGCACAGCAGAGCATGATGATTAACAGCAATTAATTATATGCTGCAAAAAATAGCTAGTGGAGAGGATTTTGAGTGTTCTCGACACCAACAAATTGTCACTGTCTGAAATGACCACTATGCAGTTACCTTGATATGATCCTTTTGGTTAAAACTGATGTTTAAAGATTGTTGAATAAGTTCAAAGTCGTAGTATTAACTTTATGCCTTAAAATGTCTAATTTATCAACTTTCTGACATCGAGTGTCCATATACTATGTTATTTCAGAAATGATGACTTTATAAAACATCGTGTAACAGAGTAGCTGATACATTTTCTTAGGTAGCAGAATGTATTTGTTGTTGTGGTTTATGTCTTTTGGGGAAGCACAATGTACATTTGTGGTGTATTAGATACTGTTCCTAACTGGTGCCTTGGAGCTGACATTTCGTCTCCACTTCGAGTAGCTTTAGTGTTAATAAGCATATTTAGTTTAGATAACGCTCTGAACTGGGCTTATGGTAGAAGAAATACTGTTGGAATATGGGAATATCCATATTTATTGGATAAATAAATAAAGTTTATTGCTCTTTTACTCTTTCTACTTTGCTGTTTCTCAAATATTTTACTTGTGTGCTCTGGCTCGTTTTGTCAGGTTTTCCTCCTTCAGTGTAGAGTTGGAGGATCTTTCTCTCTGTGGAATAGATATTCTACGTGGTTGTTGCTCAGTTGTTTGCTTTCTTCCGGGTCTGAGAGCATCAAAGCCTAGCTCTGCTGTCGCCCTAGAGAGAACATTTATTTTCCATTTCAGTTGGCTGATTAATTTTGTATGCTTATAGTGCCTTCTTTTAAAATATCTCCTAATATAAATTAGGGATGCTTTAGGCTGCGTGTAACAGGTGTAGAGTAACTTTCTGATATTGATGAGGGCCTTTTCCAACAGCTATTTTACAACTTCACTTCTCTTACATCTCATTGGTTGAAACTGCCAATATTTACTGACAAGGTTGGCTCAGAAAGTATATTCCTGTCTCTCTATCTGCCAGAGAAAATTAGGGAAGAGATGGTATGTCTGTTGCAGAAGAAATACTTTTACTGTATATTCCATTACCCCAAAACTCCAAAACCAGTGTTATTTGCCTGATAACTCTTAAAAGTTCTTTTCTTTGTTTCAGATTTTTTAAAATTTACTTTTTATATTAATTACAATTTATTCACTTTGTATCCCAGCTGTAGCCCCCTCCTTCATTCCCTCCCAATCCCACCCTCTCTCCCTCATCTCCTCCCATCTCCTCTAAAAGTCTACTGATAGGGGAGGTACTCCTCCCCTTCCCTCTGACCCTAGCTTATCAGCTTTCATCAGGACTGGCTGCTTTGTCCTCCTCTGTGGCCTGGCCTGGCTGCTCCCTCATCAGGGGGAGGTAGTCAAAAGCCAATCACTGAGTTCATGTCAGAGACAGTCCCTGTTCCCATTATTAGGGACTCCCTAAAAGTTATTTTCTAGAAGAGATGTAGCAGAAAGACTTGGTGTCAGTTAAAGGTCTTGAACAGAGGCAACATTCTCTTCTGGATGATAAAAAAAATTAACTTACACAGATAAAAGTTTTGACTTTGTGAAGTCCTTCATATTAGCTCAGTTAGAAGAATGGGAAACTGAAGAAAAAGAGATTGTATACCCTTTCAAAACCCCTTCTTTGATGTGTAGAAAAGACATGAAAATTTTCATGCCTATAGGAGTTGCCTTTCTCTCACTGTGGTAAAACATCATGACTAAGGCAATGTATAGAAAAATGAAAAAAAATATTTAGGCTTATGACTTCATAGGGATAAGAATCCATCCATCACCTCCATAAGTGAATAGGCATAGCGGTAGGTGGGCAGGCATGGGAGAAGAGCTCACGTCATCAAACTCAAGCACAAAGCAGAAAGAATAAACTAAGAGTGAGACTTTAGTCTCTCAAAGCCTACCCCCTGTGACATACTTCCTCCAGGAAAGCTGTTACCCCCTACACTTCCCTAACCCTGTCACCAACTCAAATGCCCAAGACCTTGCTCATTCAAACCCCTCTACTGCCTTTGATGAATTAGATATTACCTTGCTAAAAGAGAGAATTGTGAGCATTTACTTCAGTCTTCTTCCTTCCTGCCAATATAACTCAGGCTTTCTTCTCTCTTTTTGAATAGCTTCCATTGTAAAAGGACTGCTGTGTATGTCTGTGTCCTTTATTCTGATATTAACAGTCAATGTGGACTTGCTCTTACCGGAACTTCACAGTCAAAGGTCACCCAGTAGTTTTTAATTCAGACACTGGCTTTCAGCAGAGATCTTGAAAACATTTGCAGCTGGCTCTCACAGCTACTGTGAGAGTTCTGATGGAAAGCCATACTTAAAATTCTATGTCTTCAAACCTCTCCTCAGACGCTGAGGTCATAAGCTACGCCCCTCAGTAGATGAATAGTGGGAGAGATGGGAGTGCAGTTACAGGAATGTCGGGGTGCATGTGGGTTGTGATACTCAGCTGTGATGTGTGTGTGTGTGTGGCATTCAGAAAGTTTGCCCGATGGCTCAGCACATCTGTCATTACTCAGGTGTTCCACGACATCGCTTACAAAGCAAAGGATAGGCACGACCTGATTGCTGGCATTGATGAGTTCCTAGATGAAGTCATTGTCCTTCCACCTGGGGAATGGGACCCTGCCATTAGGATAGAGCCTCCAAAGAGCCTCCCATCATCTGACAAAAGGTAAGTTGCTATGTACTTGGCAGTGTTCAGGGATGTGTCAGGATGTGCCGCTGACCTGAGGAGGTTGTGTTTGCAAAAAGCAGGGCCAGGCCGGGTTGTGAGATTCCCCGTGCATGTTTCGCCTCAGATGAGTTGCTGATGTGCCTTGCCTTTAGATTTACTTGACACTTTAAATAAATGTTATGTGCTTTGATGCCCTTTAATGATTGCTCTTAGTTCATGGTGTTGGAAAGTGTCACGGGTGTTCTTTGGGGATGCTTTGGGGACTTTCTCTTTGTATCTGTGCAAAGATCACTTTACTCAGAAATAGCCCTTGTAGACTAAGCAGGTTAAAAAGTTTAGTAGAGAAGTTGAGAAAAAACTGTTTCTTGGAAATCTGTTATTCCCCAGGAGGAACAGTTTCGTTCCTCTTTGTGTGCAATAAGTCAAAAATCTTTGTTCACCCAGCCATTGGTCTCGCCTCTAGACAGAACACTTCAAGATTTAATTCTCTGTTAGCAAAGAGCAGGAAACAGTGGTCTTCATTCTCTGTCTCTGTAAGCACACGACAGCCATGAGAGCAAGTGAACACGATAAACTGATACCTCCTTGCACCTCTTGTCTTGCTTAGAAAGAATATGTATTCAGGTGGCGAGAATGTTCAGATGAATGGGGACACACCTCATGATGGAGGACATGGAGGAGGAGGACATGGCGATTGCGAAGAACTACAGAGGACTGGCCGGTAACTGAAGGAACCTTTTGCCATTCATGATAAGGTTTTCCTTAGATCTAAATTTCCCTTCCTTGTTCTCAATTTCAGTTTCAGCGTTTTATTTACTGGTTTGTTCATTTGTTCAGCCAACAAATATTTATAGTACATCTGTTAATCACAGGCACTGGGAATGTAGCAGTATATGAATGCCCTGCCCTTTGGGGCCTCACTTTGTAGAGTTGGGAGAGAAATCTTAAGCAAATAAATAAATGCACCTATGGGATTATGAGGAAAATGGAGGAAAAAAAATAGGGACTTTGGTGATGAATAGTATTAAATTTCTAGGCAAAGTGATCTGAGTGGACCCTGTAGATAACGCAACAGTCCAAGGAGGTGTTAAAGCAGGTGAGAGACAGTCTATATAGGTGTGACGTAGGAAAAGGGACTGAGGCACAGAGCATCTAGGACAGTGACATCCAGGCAGTGTGACTAACAGAGTGGCTGATGGGATGATACAGAGAGGGCTAAGTCTATGTCAGCTGAGAATGGGTGGTAGGGATGACTGAAGACTGACTAGGTTTCCTGTGTGGCTTTCATGATGCCATTCCTTCCCTGTACATTTACTCCAAAGTCTGTCACATGTTGTGGAAAGTGTGTGTTGGGGGGGGGGGACTCTAGGCCACTGCCCTGTCTCCTTGCCCACAGTTGAGGATTCTGATTCCCAGAATCAGAATTAATTTCAGTTAACTCCTTATTGTGATTACCTCTTCTCCACTATTAGATAATTTTTTTGGGGGGTGGTAAGTAGAATTTTTAGTAGTATACTCATTTCATAAAAATGCAGAAATCACTTCAGGGTTAAAAAATTGTCATCTTAAATAGGCAATTGAATTTGAATGAAATGAAATTATTTCTTTTTGCTGGTGACCCACTTGGGTTTCTCTTCTAATGTAAACGGAATTATTTCCCTTCCTCTGAAAGAACCAAGGATGAAAACCTCCCCAGCTTATATATTGCTTAATGATGGGGTATGGTCTAGAACTCTGCAACCATAATGGAGTATATTTAGACAAATCTAAGGCCATTAGCCACTTACTCAATGTGGGCTCTTGTAGTCAAAGGACAAGATAAATACGACATGTCTGTGGCCATTGGCAGTTTCGCATGCATATTGTTTTACAGGACACTTTAAGAAGTAGAAGGAGTACACACTAATGGAATGCTAAAAGGTATAGTGTAGCAAATGCATGAACTGATAACACAGCCATGTATGTGTATAATTATATGAGGTATAATTTTATATACCTCCCAGTAGAGTAGGTTTACCTATGCCAGCATACCACCATGGCACACAAGGAGAGAATTGTGCTGGAGAATATTATCATATCTAATGATGCTTCTATGTGATAGCCACTTTAGTTCCATTATCATCTGTGAGGCTGCTGTCACCCACGTGATCTGTCATTGAACTCAATGTCATCATGCAGTGCGTGGCTACAGTTCTTTATAAATTAGCTTTGTCACTTTTTACTGATAGCCCAGAGATGAGTTACGGAACTGAAAGTGTTGAGTTGCATCAGACTGTTACTTCCTTCTGTTGCCTCTCCCTTTTCCACATTCGTTCAGTGGCTGCACAGTCCTGTGTGTTTCAAGGGTTCAGAAGCAGGGTGCTCAGTTCCCTGACGCTGAGATGTCAGGTTTTAGGAAGGGGCACTTTGCGCAGAAGTCACACTCTGCGTGGGGAAGGCTGGATTGTGAGGCTGTGTCGGAAGGCTGGCATGTGGGCTCAGCCTATACCTTTCCCCACCACACGACTCCATGCCTTCTTCGCTTCACATCTTTGGGTCCTTATTCCAAATTAACTTTTTTTCCTGAGGCCCACTCTGGCCATCCATGTATAATTTTCCAATGCCTCTTCTCTAGAACTGTGTAATTACCACCTCCATTTCATTTTTCCTTGATTTGTGTTTACTTATCTTGCCTTCCGTCCCGGAAAAGTGAACTCCGTCAAGGCCCGTGTTGTTCAGTGTCGTTTCCCCAGCAAATAGAATAATGGCAGAGTGTGTGTCTCTCCCAGGTCTCACCCTCACAGAGTGGGGTGACATGACATTGTGACATCTTACAGGGCTTTATGTGATGTGCAATGTATTTGGATGTTTGCTTTTGGAGAATGGAAAATTATAACTTATTTTCTCAGTGCTCTCATGTAAGGACCAACTGGGTGCTCTTCAAAGAATGTTGGACCTATTCCGGTAACTGAAAAAGAGAGGAAGAGAGAGGCAGAAGATGTATTTCTCTACAATGTTTTTTCTGTCTCATCTAAATGAGACTATCTTAAATAGTATCTTGTCATTGACTCAAGCATTTTAAGTCCAAATTTTTTGTGGTCTAGTGAATTATGTCTTGATGAATTTGATGGCTGTTTTATCTTAGACTTGATCACATGTTTGCTTTCCTCATGCCCAGGTTCTGTGGTGGATTAATTAAGGACATAAAGAGAAAAGCACCATTTTTTGCCAGCGACTTTTATGATGCTTTAAATATCCAGGCTCTTTCAGCGATTCTCTTCATTTATCTGGCAACGGTGACCAACGCCATCACTTTTGGAGGTCTGCTCGGGGATGCCACCGACAACATGCAGGTGGGTCTGATTTGAGAGGGGACACAAATAGTCCAGCGCAGATTGTCCTTCTCACCCCTGCAGCTCTGCGTGGAGCAGATGGCCTTTCAGTTACTCAGCGTGATTTTCTTTCTTTTGCTGGATGCTGCACTTTACTTTGCTTCTGGCTCACGGCTGTATTTCCAGCATGTTAGTAATTACAAAAATAGCTCGATGAAATCTGGCTTGAGTCACAAGTGGGGAAACGAAGGGGAGGAAATGAGGATCTACAATTCTATTTGGGCAAATGCGTATCAGCTGCCTGGGTTCTGTATGGTGCACAAGGCTTAGAGCTTCCAGGATCTGGAATGTATGGGTCGTCCTTGGTTTTTACTTGGTGTTCACAATCTTTGGAGATGTGTGATTATCTGACTCTTTGCCCTTGTTCTAACATGAGCTAATCCAGGCACCAAGCAATGGAGTGGGTTGCTGAAGGCTGGACTTGCATGTCTGCCAATAGAATTCAGCTTTAGTGAATCCTAGCTGAAGTTGCTTCTTCTATTCCTGGACCGTCTCTCACTGAGCTGTAAAGAACCTGGCTGGGTTAATGTTATAACATTAATTACAACCACAGTTTGTTGGTTTCTGTGAAGGTAGTGTTTGCCATCCTTTCACATCAACAATAGCTACAGTGTTAATGAGAGAAAAGTTGTGAGCGTTCCACCAGTCAACTAGAACAGTGTGTGAAAATGACTTAAAGTTGATACAGGCATTGGAAACAGTAAGGATTGTACAAGGTACTGAATGTACAGCGACTGGAGCTGAACCTCAGTTGAAGCCCTTTCGAACTCTGTTCTTCCACTTCTTGCCCAGTGGTGTTCAACCCATGTGGCATTCACCCATGCTGCCAGCCTGCTCCTCAGCTTGTAAATGCAACCAGTTTCCCCAAATTCCCTTTTTTTTCCACATTTTTGCTTTGGCTCTAGAGTCATATATCTATGCTCTAGAGTCCTTTCTAAGTGCAAAGATAAGACAGAGACATTAGCCTTTTTGTGGTATTGAGAACGAAGGGGAAAGACAGTCCTGTTTTAGATTAAGTATGCTTACCCATTATGGAAAACTGCTCTCTCATATTACATTTATCTCACTGATGTGGTGGCTATGGGCCCAGCTGAGTGGTCCTTGTTTCGACCCTTCATTACATTACAGTTAGACGGCACCAGAGTTTGAAGTTGTCTTAATGGCTTCTACTCACACAGTGCCTGGGCTGGCGTGTCTGGAGCAGCTGGGTTCTAGGGACGCTACACATGGCTTCTCTACAAGACTAGCTTGGGCTTCCTGGTCAAATGGGCACCCTTAAAAGCTGAGGCCTCAGGAAAAGAAGCAAGTACTCGTCACTGTCTCAACTCATGCGGCTGTATACCTAGCGTTGCTTCATTTTCTGATGTCCAAAGACTCACTGAACATTCAAACTCTCAGTGACAGCTTGTAGCTCTTAAATATTACCATTGATTAGCCTTTAAAAAATTAACATTATAACCAGGTGTGGTGGTCCATGCCTGTAATCCTAGCACTCGTGAGGCAGAGGCAAGCAGAGCTCCATAAGTTGGAGGCCAGCCTGGTCTACAAAGCAAGTCCAGGATGGCCAAGGCTACACAGAGAAACCCTGTCTTGAAAAAAAAAAAAACAGCCAACCAAACCAAACCAAATCAAACAAAACAAAAACTAACATTATGTTAGTCAAAGAACATGAATCTCTGTGCTACTCTGGGCATAGTTTGCAGAGACCAAATGTGCTTTGCTGCCACCACTGCCATGGATGCCCTCAATCATAAGACGAGGATAAACAACTAAATTGTAATAAATAACTAAATTGCAATAAAACTTTTATAAACTCTGACCTAGATTCAAGCTGGGCAGCAATTCCTCATCCAGGTTACAACATAATGCTCCCTAAAGCAGATCATTTAAGAAACCACTGGGAAAAGAAACCATTGAGGAAACACCTTGAGACCAGTGTAAAGCTAGCATGTGCAGGAGATCAAAGAAATCTATGGCATTTAAGAAATGTATTTGTGAGGGCTTCAGCTTTGGTATATAAATAAATATGTTACCATTAAACACCTATCACAACACTCTGTTTAGTTGCTCTTCATTTGCTTTTTAATTATTTTTGATTCTTCAAAAGTGCATACACTGCATTTTGATCATATTCATCCTTCCCTCCTCTCAGCTCCTCACAGATTCACAGCTGCTATTCACGCCCAGCTCCCCAATTCCATGACCTCTTTTGAAAATCACTCTCTAGATCCAACTTGTGCTGTCATTATACTCCAGGGTGTAGACCATCCAATGAAGCATGGTTGACCTACCAGAGGTCACTTCCTTAAACTTAACTGGTTCTTCCTACCTGAAAAAAACATCCCCTGTGAAAAACTCCTCAGGCTTGAGCCATCCGGTCTCCATTATAGCCTGCTGAATGGTTTGATCTAATGCAGTCACAGAGCAGGCAACCACAGCTGCGGTGGGCTCAAGAGTCCAGCAGTCCTGTCATTTTCAGAAGACTCTGTTTTACTCCAGTTCTTCAGCCTCTGGCTGAGAGTCTTTCTTCCCTCTTCTTGGATGATTCTCAAGTCTTTGGAGGAAAGGATGTGTATTGACACAGCGTTAATAGCTGATTACTCCATCCGTAGACACTGAATTCTCTATACTTTGACAAGTTGTGTGTTTCTGTGTTGATTGCTATTCACCAAACAAAGAAGCTTTTCTGATAATGTTTGAGGGGTGCACTATCTGATTTGGAGCAGATGGTCAAGAACAAACCCAGCTTTTGCTAGGAGAACACAGAGGTGTGCTTGTGCAGAGACAACTAAAAGAATTATTTTCATGGACTTCCTTCTCATTGAAATGGTGACATTGTAATAACTCCTATATGTACATTTAATGCCGCTTTGAAATACAGTCTTTACAGTCTTGTGAGATTCGGCTTTAGGGTTTTATGTGTGCCATGGGGGAGGTTAAGGAAATGCTGAGGAGTAAACATAGTGAGTGTTCATAGTGTTCAGTGAGTGAACATAGTGAGTGTCCTAGTTAGCATTTCTATTGCTGTGATGAAATATCAGGAGTAAGGAAACTTGGGGAGGAAGGGGTTTATTTGATTTTCACTTCCACATCACAGATGATAACCGAAGGAAGTCAGGACAGGAACTCAAACAAGGCAGGGCAAGAGCCTGGTGACAAGAGCCAATGCAGCCACGGCGGAGTGCCACTTCCTGGTGTTCTCTTTCTGGCTTGCTTAGTTTTCTTCCTCACAGAACCTAGGACCATCAGCCTAAGGATGACACCACCCACAATGGGCTGGGCCCTCCCCCATCAATCACGCCCTATAGGCTTGTCTACAGCCAGGTCTTCTGGAGGCATTTCCTTAGTTGAGGTTTCTTCCTCTCAGATGACTTTAGCTTGTGCGAAGTTGACATAAAACTATCCAGCACACCAGACAAGTGCTCTAGCACTGAGCCACATCTCTATCTCAGATTCAGCTTTAGAACGTAGCTTCTAAGACCAGCGGAGAAGTTTGCTCAAGTTTTTTTTTTTTTTTTAATTTTTTTTTTTTAGGTAACATTTGTATGAATCAGGTTTTATTTGAATGAGTCCTTGCGATAGTAGGCTTTGTTGTATAATATAAACAGTATCATGGGGGTCTCCCTCCCCCATAGGTATACTGCCTGGGCAATTCCCAGGTTATTTTCTGATTTTGAAGATATCAGAGAAAGCATGAATGAGTTAGAGCATCAGCATGCTAGGCAGTGCCCTAAACATTTGTCAAATATTAGTCTGGTTAAGTTGGTAATTCAAACTTATACAGACTTATGAGAATATTTTTGGACCTACTTTAATGATTTTATTAATACATTTTATTATCGCCATTGGTAATTTTTTTGTCATGGAGCATAGGTAGAATTTTAAAGGTTTCTGTAAATGAAAATACTGAAGAACATATTTTACTTTTCTTGTGTATGAAGCTTTCCCTCTTTTAAGCTATACTGGCAAAACCCTTCTGCTAGACAGCTTGCAGGAATCACAGTGGGTGGCAGAAACATTGAAAAGGAATTATAGAAAATGAGTGGTTATTAGTACATATTTGTTGAACTGAAAAACTAACTCATAGCTTTTTTTTAAGAGCTAGGGAGTGAGTAGGTTTGACTTGTTGGATTGTATCTTATGATGAAAATGTGTGTACTTTACCTGTGAATGCTTTCATCCTCTGGCAGAAGTCTTTTTGACTTGGCATTAGGACAACAAGATATTTTGTGGATTTGATGATATGTCTCAGGTCGTTTTATGGGTATATGGCAGACATTAATTCATGTCTTTGCAAATATTTATGGAGTGGTTACCATCAATTAGATAGATACAATTGTATGTGCTGGAGATAGAGGGAGTAAGATGGCTAAGAACCCTAGGCTGGTGGGATTTATATCTAGAATAGTGATGCAAGCAAACTTCTTCTGTGTCTGTCTGTACAAGGTTCCGGCATGGTATGTAATAGGCTTACTTAAGGGTCCAAGTACTCTTTCTCCAAATACCTGTGTTATTAAACACAGACCAAAGACCTTTCAGAAAGCACTGGGCAAACCCAAGTGTCTGCAGTTATATCACATCCATCACAGGTAAGGCAGCAGGTTAGTCTCCACAGCACAAGCAGCTCAATGAGTCAACTGAGAACAACGTCCTTGCTATGAAAGGCAGACAGCTCAGCGGTGGTTTAATAAAGGATAGGGCCTTTATTGTCAGGCCACAAATAGACATGGGTGCTGGGGAGAAGCATGTTGTGAAAACACAGATGACTCACTGCATGGCTGTTGTCTGAGTACGCGCTCCTGACAGCTTCTGCTCAGGAGGTCTGGCTTGCTTGAAGATGAGAATTTGCTTTCAAGCATTAATTCCAGGGATGGTGACATCTATCCATTTATCTATTTGTGTGTCTATGTATATATCTGTGTACCTATCCATCATCTATTTATGTATTATCTATCTATCTA